AATATTATATTTATTTAATTATAATAATTCTAATTATATGTACAATATTATATTCAAATATTACACAAAGAATTTTATTTTTAATTTCCAAGATTTTTCGAAGTAATTATATACGAGTATAATATTTTCCACAAACAATCTTTGATTTTTATATGTATTGTATACGTATTTTTATTTTACTCAAAAATCTTTATATATAATGTAATTACGAGAGAGAGAAAGAGAGAGAGAGAGAGAGAGAGAGAGAGAGAGAGAGAGAGAGAGAGAGAGAGAGAGTGGGAGGGGAGAGGAGAATCGAAGACAGTTACAATTAACAATGTAATGAGACGGACGTAGCAGTCGTCATCAGCGAGAGAAGTTTGTCGGTAACACAATGCAGCGACAACGTCTGATTCAGGCGATGTTATGAAATCAGTAAACAGCGTCTTATGTGCACTTACGTCGAAATTCGTCAGTCACACGAGCATAGATGCGTGTGTATCGGTAGGTGCGTTAGATGTAGATTTCGTAGCCATAGGCGGGGTGGTAAGACACGTTTCTCCACGCGATGGCATCGCAGAAGGAGGATCGCTCATTCAATACGGGCGTATTGTTCGGGTCTTATCGTAATATCTCATAATTAATATCTCCGCATTGTGGTATGGATGGATAGGCAGGATTCGCTGCCAGACCCAACTGATAGCGAAAGCATTTGTACCCGGCAGCTCTTCATCTCTCGATCTCTCTCTTCCTCAACTACCCTTACGCATTCATCTACCTTCTGTCCTCGTCTTTGACGCGACGACCAAAGCTCGGTGTTCGCTTCCACCGCGTCCCATGAAAATCTTGTTCTTAGACCGCCAGACGATCCCGAATATCGATAAGCTGTGGATCTTGGGTAGGATAACGGTGGAAGTCTTATAACGAGTCAACGAGCGGGTCGTGCCATGGACGATTGTAATGGCTGCTTTGATGTATCGTCAGAATAAATTAACGTGTGCTAATCGTAATGATGTCCTATTGGAAGCGCTTAATTTCTCGATGCTTAGAATACATAGAAACGAAGCCTGTTATATTTAAGAAGAATACGGAGAATGTGTGTGCAATATTCTAAAAGGGAACCGTCTAATAATAATTTGAGTTAGGGTAAAGCATTTCGAGATATTGAGCTAATCATTTAGTACATGTTATACAAGAACGCGTCAAAGCCGTTTGCCACTGAACTAATCAAAATACGTATACGATGGATAGATGTTGTGCGATTTATCTGGTTCATTGAGACGCTGACCTTCCTTCCCTTGATCCTCAAGGAATATTTCGCCGGATATAGGAGGACACTGGCCGAGAAACGGTACTAAGGGGCTTTTGAGATCGCTGAACGACGACTCCTACTGCTCGCGGTCGAAAGGAGAGGCTCGCTTGTTCAGATGTCGGAATAGACGATAAACAGACGAATAGAAGACCGTCACAGACGACTGTATCCGCCTGTAAGCTCAATGCTTGGCAGAATTCCTAAGACGCTGCGAGTCCTTCGGCGGATATATCCGTATGTGCTCGGTGTAATTGAATGTATACACATTGGCCGGCATGTATTTACAGGTTAACGCTCGTTGCTACAATAGGAGGGTTCGCGACCTTTCTGTTTGAAATTCAACTTTGTCGTCATATAGAATTAGTCGCGATAAATACGATAGATCAGTTGAAACCAATAGATATGTTAGATAAAAATTATTAGAACCGACAAGTTCAACTTTTGGCACGCTATAAAAAGATTATATTTGTCTTTTATCATCTTAATGTATATACTTAATGTAATTATGAATTATATATTAATCAGAATATGTATAAGTCAATTTTAATACGATCGTTAATACGAGCAAAGATTTAGCGTTAAAAAAAATTGAATATATTGCGCAAGATACAAATAGGTTAATGTGAAACACTGCATTTAATAAATTAAAATTGGAAGCTGCAATTCAACCGAAACGTTACTTAAAAAGTTGTTTAATTTCGATGCACATCTTGCTGCGTCACACCTTGCCTCTGACTTAAATATTTAATTTCTTGCTGAAGAATTAATGCGATGAGAAGTTGAGTAACTCTCGATATTCCCATTTCCTCGGTAGCCACGAGGAGAATAATGCAGGACGGATAAGTCGAAGGACCAAACCAAAACAAGCTGTGCAACAGTTAAGGCAGATCCTGTTTGAATATTGTTACCTTAACGAGGCGCAAGTATTTGCTTTGGAGATGTAATCCAGTGTACGGCTCGGAATATGAACGGCTTGGCGAATTACAGCGGTGTTTCGATTCTAAATCGACGAAAAGCCTTCGTTAATTGGCTTGAAATTTGCATTCGTTGTTTGAACGTCAACGAGCTGTAAAATTGTACGTTAAAGTTACAAATGGTTACTTCCGAGGCGATTTTCTCGTATTTTTTATACTTAATAATTTATAACATTAATTTTATCTTCAATGAATCTCGATGATAATAATAATGTTTCTTTTAATTTTATCAAAAGCAATTAAGGTTGATTAAATAATTGTTACAAGATTGGAAAAATAATGTAAAGCTTAAAAATTTATTAAAAAATAGCGAGGAACAGGCTAATGAGAGTGAAGCTGTAAATGTTGCGCAAATTTTATATGTGTCTTCTATTTATTTCGACTCACGTTCAAGACATCTTCAGCAAAAATCCATGAAAATTAAAAAATTGCGTTGAATCCTTAGCGAAAGAACCCTACCAGTCAACACATAAGTTGTCGTTGTACATGGTTGATTAATTGTGCCTTCCACTGGAATAATTATGTGATGACTAGTAGGGTCCTCTCGCTAAGGATTCAACGCAAATTTGTAATTTTCATGGATTGTTGCTAAAAATGACTCGAACATCTAAACGTCCAAATAAATTGAAGACATACACATAAAATTTGCGCAACGTTTACAGCGTTTTACTCTCATTAGCCCGTTCCTCACTATTTTTTAATTTTTAATATTTTCGAGAGTGCGTACAATTTTAATTTGTTATTTAAAGTTATCTTTTTATGAATTGTTTTAAAATCTATATAATAAATATATACTTGAACTTAAATTGTCCATAAATTTCATCTTTCACAATGAAAGGAAAGAAAGATTCTTCGTGTTTCGCGAGTTGGATTGGTAAAATATCGAGGCTATACCGGAAATGGCCACCGCTAACAACAAGCACGATGCGGGAGTCCGTGGCCGCGCGATTCGACTATCTTTTACGGGACGAAAGGGGTGGAAAGGAGAGGTAGTTTTCGGGGCCGAGGCGAGGAATACGAGAGAAAGGACGACGGAGTTGGGGGTGGCTGGGAAGATAAGGCGAATCAAACCGTAAATAACCGCGGAACGGCGGAAAGGAAAGGGAGCGAGAGGCGCGGGGTGGCGTCGGGGGTGGGGGGAGGGGGGGGAGTAGCGAAGGAAGGGGCGAGAGTGAGGGGTACGACGCCTCGCCAGCTGCAAAACTCGCCGAGTTTTATAGTTGAATCGCATGACTCCGAATCTCCATACATTCCGCGCCTTCTCCCTTTTGCCGCTCACCCCCTTCTCACCGCCATCCTTTTGTCTTTCTGTCTTTCTCTATCCTCCGTCCCTGTACTTTCCGCCTTTTTACTCGAACCACCCTTACTCCCCCTTTTTTCGCTTCCCCTCTCCCGGTCATATCTATTTTTATATCGCCATTCCTTTCTCCAAGCCGGCGGCTACCACTCCACCTGCGGATATCTCCACATTGGTAACACCGTGTGCGTATTATGCACATAGGTATACGAGCGCAATGGATGGAGAAAGGGGCGATTAATTCCGTATTCCTAGATACTTTCTAACGTCCGCACGCCAGCCTCATACCTCATGCCACCGTCGCAGCCTTCATGGTGTTTACGAGCACCGTTTTTCGAGAGGAAGTGAAAAAGAATTGGACGTACGTCCAATATATCTGTGCCGCAGCCTGGAATTATAGTGGCGCTGAATCCAGGTGGAATTTCCGAGAAAAACGCGATGGTTATGCGCCAATCGAACGATGCAAATAATAAAGCGAACTCGCTACCGATAAAAATAATCGAGCAAAAATTTATTAATTTAATTTGGTCCGGAAGAGAAAGTTCAGAACTAATTTTAAATGACTTACAATTTTTCTGAAATGTTTTTTTAAAAAAGATATTTTTTTATTATATACTTTATTATTGGAATTTTTCACGACGGCTTTCGTTATCTTCTTAAGTTATTTCCAGTTGCAAAATGATTAGTATTAATTATTATAATATACGTATAACGATGATCTTTCATGGCGAAGCGCTATATTTTTTACGTGCAAAACTATTCGACGATTCAGTCGTACTCTGAATTTCACGGAGCGCGGAATCGCGAAAGAAGTTCTCGCCACAAGTAACTGTGCGTGTGTTATCACACCCGTACATACACGTGTGTGTGTACGTATTATGCGACGAGGGTGCAGCCCAGGGTGGAAAGGTGGGCGAAAAGTGCACGAAGGAGGGTGGAATGCGGGCCGAAGTAGGTACTAATGCTAAAAGTTTTAACGAGTTTGAGTGATCGCGGTCGATGTAACCGCAACAATAATAGCAATAGTAATAATCATGCCACTGCCTACCGAGGCGGTACCAACTTATCACGTAGTTCGGTATAAAAGCCTTGCTTGTGTGCGCTTTTGTGTATCTCTCCGACATTCAGGTAGGAATGAAAGGAACAGGGACCGCTTATCAAATTCGTACTTCGCCGTCGATAATAGATATGATAATAGAGAGAGAAATTAATATTCCACACACAGGATTAGTCTGATTTTTATTATCATCATCATATTTTTAATATAATAATAATAATATCTGAGACGATAAATGACTCGATGATGATGGGAATTGTATGTTTTTTTATTTCATATATTTTTAAATTAAAGTTCGTTTAATTATTAATTTATGTGTCACAGTGATTGAATAAAAATATTAGATTAATAACTAATAAAAAATATGGAGAACTAGATAAGTACGCGTCGAGCAATTAATCTCACTGGTGCGACAGTGCGTCGCTCAGCTTTGTCCGCAACCTCCATCTTCGACGAAGGATTCAAGGGACGACTTTTCTTCGCGTCAGCCAATGACCGATCGCGCAAGTCGCGCCAAATGGAATCCTCTTCGTCTTCGTCGGCACTTTCTTCGGGCACAGGCAGCGGGATCTGTAATACACGTACGCACCACATACACAGGTATAGACAGGTATCCTGAAAGAACGACCGACCGGCGGGCGGTGGCGGAGGACGTAGGACGGAGGTAGAAGGTGCCCGCCTCGGCGAGGGCCGACTAAAGGGTGTATGATTGATCGCGCCATGGCATGCCAGATAATGCAATTTTATTTCATTTGATTCCGCGGGGGTAATTGCTATTTTGGCGGGTCTGCCGCGCCGAACGGCCGACGGAGTGATGTATTGGCGTGGCTCTTTCTTCCTCTGCCTACCCCCCCCCCCTTCCCACCCCTTTCTCTACCCTCCCCCGATCACCATTCTGACTTGCCCCCTTCTCCCTCCGTCTCTCGCGATATATATTAACTCCAGTCAGGATTATTGCTTCGAGGGTGGAAAAGAGCGGATCGATCACGTGCGAAGGAAGGTAGAGAATCGTCGGCTCGTCGCTTCCGCCGTCAAAGACCGCGCGGGGCGATAAATCTCGCGTCTTCCTGCCATCTTGTTTTGGAAAGGAGCCTAATCGGCCGTACGATTGATTTAGATCGCCCGATTTACCTCGCTTCGCATCGTCGTAATGCCGTATGCGAAATTGGAGAATCGCGATGATTGCGTTATGGCGAACCACGTGCGAATCCTTATCTGAATAGAACTTGTCCCGTATATACATTTCTTCGCCTTAATAATAGATTTTACTGAGAATATATTATGATATTTGAAATTAATTCCTGCATCAACAAATGCTGTAAAAATTTTTATCAAAACTCATAATTTATATACATGCCTTAATTCAAGATAAAAAAAGTCAAAAATATTAATTAATTTATTAATTGAAATTTATTAAGTTTAGCACAAAGGAGTTATAATTGAATAAAGGAGCGTTAAATACACGCATTTGCAGAAGTTTGTTGCTAATCGCATGAACAAAGCGTCATCTTCAAAATCCTGAGCGCTCTACGCGACGATGTAACCGAAGCTTTCGTCGCAATAAATTCAAAATAATATCCAAAGGCAACGCGACGCGCAGCAGTACCGTGGCGTGTTTCTATTTGACGTCGCGGTGCCGCGGGTGCATGGCGTCGCCGCGTAGTTGGTTAGCGTTAATTGTAATGCTTTTTGGTCCATACGCGATTACACGATGAAATAATCCCTCATTTATGAGTTAAGTGGTCTGTGGAACTCAACGGCGCTTCTGATGAAATGCTCACGGCGAGTGCACCGCCGCGCTGATTCTGAGGAGAGTCGTTGAGGAACGGGAGGAGAGAGAGAATGAGAGAGAGAATAAGGGAGTGATAGAGTGAGTGAGTGAGTGAGTGACTGAGTGAGTGAGTGAGTGAGAGAGAGGAGGGAGGGGAATACGGGAAGTAAGAGAGAAGGGTGAAAACGCACGCCAGAGAGAGAGAGAGAGAGAGAGAGAGAGAGAGAGAGAGAGAGGCGGGGGGAGAGAGAGAGAGAGAGAGAGAGGAGAAAAGGGCGGCCGGCGGGCGGATGGAGGTCAGGGGGTAGGTAACTGCGCCACCAACCACGCGACCCTACGGCGATATGGTCCTTTGCTCGTATTATAATTACGTTCTGCCGTCCGTAAAATTGCAAATAATTAAGATTTGGTCGATGCGAGAGCGCGAAACGTAATAATGTCGTGCGGGTTGTTTCGCTGCACTTCGTGGCTGCGGAGGGAGTACGATTGCGAGTTGTCGAGATCTTTCTTACTCATTCAAACGTAATAAACGACATTTGCCTTTCATAGTATATTGTATATTGTATACATACAGTATATCGTATTTGTTTATCGGGAAACAATAAATATGTGCTAACTTTTTATCAAAGCAGTTTTTTTACTAAGCTAGCGAGATTCGTTTTTTTTCTCTCATAATTCTATAAAGTCACGTTAGTTGAATCGGGCACGTAAGTTTCGCTGATGACTTGAAACTATCTCTCGACAGCACTCGCAATACAATGATATATTGGTAATTAGGACGTTAATAGGCAAAATTACTCGTTTGAGTCAAAGCCAGCGGTGATCTCGCGTCACCGAACAGAAATTACAAACTCTCGCTGTTTGGCGTTGTCGGTTTGTTTCTTAGTTGTTCTGTTCCGATCCCGGTAATCACTCTGATGAATGTCGAGACCGCCATTACCGAGCAATTTGAGAGATCATCCGCGATAGACGTCAGAAGAACCAAAAATTTACTTAGCCATCGTATATGAATAAATACGAGTATATAATCAGCCTCGAGGCCATTTCAGGGGAAGCACATACAAATCCATGCATTGTTGCGCGAAAAAGGGGTGAACCGAGAAAAAAGCCTGGTGCATCGTGAAAGGAAAGATGTATTTTGAATTTACATTTGGCAAAGCATACTTGTACTTGTTCGACTTTAAACAAGGAGTACTTGTAATTGTTAAATGGCGGATATAATTCTTAGATCATGCAAAAGGTGTATACGTATGCGTGCGATGTCATGTACTCACGTGATGACAATTTGATCGATCGTTGGCAGAATTACATTCTTTTTATGCTAGAAAGTATTTAATTATGTGTTATACTCATTATATTATTATATCATTATATATGCAGCAACATTACCGCACGAAAAAATCTGAATACTTTGTGCCGACAAATAATTATTTCGTGAACGCAAAGGCTACTGTGCAAGCTTGCTTCAAAGTGATAAGAACCGAATTAAAGTTACATACAAATTAACCCGATAATGCACACGTGAAGCAACGCGTTCTCGCAACATTCGCCGATGCCGAAGCGCAAGGTGGAAGCCTCCCCTTACAACTCTGCTATGGCAACTTTCTTTCCAACCTTTTTCCTTCCCTTTGACTTTCCCCGCTGTGCTTTTCTTCTCTCTTTCTTCTCGAAGCGTGAGATCGTCCTGCGCAAATTGGCCGTGGCTTTTTTAATTTACACTCGTTCTGCGCTGCAATCGCCTTTGTCGTTCCTCTGTGCTGCGACAAGTCGATGGGTGGCGGGTTAACCCATTGTCGGCCATCTTGCATATATATATATATATATGTATATATATATATATATATATGCACGCCGAGTTTTGTGATATTTCTTAATTAAATATAGCCTCAAGTTAAAAATGAAATTAAACAGAAGGCAGTGTTTTTTTGCCGGCTCGGCCAGCCCCGTATCTCGCTTCCACCCCCGACGAGTAAAACCCTTCCTACCCTGTTCCTCGGCTCGACAATGGCGAATAAGGTTACCCAGTCGCTTCGCAGCTTCGACCAACTCTCTCCCTCTCTCTCCCTCTTTCTGCGGACCACCCGCTATACATATTTCACGTCGAAATAATTAAACGCCGCTGGACCGCGAGTCGACTCGCCCTAAGGTCGAGTGGAGCCGAGTCGCGATTATTAATTAGGTCGTAGCTGCCTCGCCAACCTCGACTCTCGATTTTCTGATAAGGTCGACTGACCATTGGTTTCGGATGAATAATACGTTAAGCTCTCTGTAAAGTTACAAATTATGCATACGCGCGCATATTTATCAAAATTTATACGTAATTATTATTCTATTTTCCTCTTCCAATATGTATCATTTATATAAATCTCATTTATAAAAATCTATCTATTTTATTTATATAAACCTTATTTATAAAAATCTATCATTTACGATTAACAAGTTTTTATTTGTTATAATTAATTACCTTGTTTGAAAATGATCAAACATATGTATTAAATGATTGTTTTTTTCTATATAATTAGTTGGCAACTATTTTTCGAATTATCGAGATCACTTAAAACATTGCGTGATGCAGATCTATCGGTATAGCAAAATTTATCTTACAATAAAACGGTTCCAACAACCCATATGCGATCGCCAGCGAAGTCCTGCATTGTCGACCGTCTTGGTAATTTGTGCGCCAATTTGGGGGGGGAGCCCTGACGCTCGCGTAACGCTAATTCTCGGAGATACTGTCAACCCGACGGCGATTATCAATTGCCTTGTCAATTACATCCCGTCCAGGGGACGGCGCGCATATGCTGGTAGACCGTGCTGCCGCCGATCCTCCACCCTCTTCTTCCTCCATCGACTCTCGACCGAATCTCGAGCCCGGCCTGATCGCAACGAGTTATTTAATTACCACGATCTATCACCAGGTGTCAGCTTCCAGTCTATAATGCATGATCGATCGTAGCTCGAGCCCTCCTCCTTCAACCCTTTGCTTCCGCGCTTCGGAAAATGCTCGTACGTGTGCGAGGGTTCGTGCGCGCGAGTATAATAGATGCTGTACACGAGATTCGTGAGACAGTTATTTTTGCTCTTATATTTTCACCTGCAATATCGTGATTTAAATGATGTACAAATATAAAAAAAAAAAAAAAAAAAAAAAAAAAAAAAAAAATCATTGATAATCCAAGCGAGATCTGTGTGATGAGAATTTTTCTAAGCTAACGTATTTCCATAGCGAAATATTCAGACGATTTCGACGATGGAGAGAAGAACTAAAAGAGAGAAAATCCATATAATCCGTAAAAGTTGTAAAAATATTTTTCAAAAGAAACTTGCGCCCCTATATACGTCGCATTCGTCTACAGACCGTGTCTCACCTATTTATCAAACCAACAGTGCGACTTATTCCACGCACGTATTACCCAGCGTACCCTACGAAAATGCGTCGAACGCGCGCGACGGGGTTCTACTTAATCCTTAATTATCCCGTGTAAATCTTAATTCCTTCGTCCCGGCAAGTCGTTACTTGTGCAAGCGTCGTTAACTACGCCCACCGTAAACACCGCGCGCCCGGTATTTCGGACGTGAAACTTTTAAACGACGAAAGGATCGATTAAGGTATAACTTCCATTAAGGTAGCTCTCGATTGGTAAGACGGGGAAAGGGCGGCGAGGATCGGCGAGACCGAAGTACGACAGAGCTAACCGTGCCCGTCTTTTTCATCGTCATTTTTATCGGCGCAGATAAGACGGCCGGGGCTAATTCGCATTCCCCTTGATGTCTGGCGGAGTTAACGGTTTTAAGGGATGAAACGCGTATAGATTGGAGGTTGGTGGCTGTGAACGTAGGGACGTCGACGAGGAGAACGAGGAGAGACGGCCGAGGCGAGGAGGCGAAGCAAGAAATTGATATAGCATACGAAAATGAATTGCCCCTTTGCCGAAGAATGTTCCACGGCAATCTGCCCTGCGCCTCGCTTTTTATGCTTTTTATGCTCATTTTCAATTTTACTCCCCGCCCGCGTCTTCCATCCCTCGCTGGGCTTGACGACGCCCCCAGGTTTTCCCATAAAACCTTGCGGTATTACAATACCTTGTCGAGCCTCTGCCGCCGGCAGACCCTTCGCGTCGATAACTGGATGAATACAAACGGACGTATTATCGGTGTCAAGGCTTGCGTCTCTTCTTCGTGAAGAAGACGTTTCACGTATAAATAGACAATATCACGTTTCCCAGCTTTTTAACGAGATATTGATATTTATTGGTGTGGAAATTTCTTCGATACTTATCGCTATTTTAGAAATTTAAACAGCCAACGTCCTTCCTGAAATTTTTATCGAGAATTCTCGCTTTTTAATTTAACAATGAATTATATTTAACAACATTTTACCCTTACAACGAATGAAAAGAATAAAATTATTTTTTTATATTTCCAAAAATATAAAATACCTTGTAGATTATTACATTAATAATCAGCAATAGGCTATTAATTTTTATTGATACTTATACCTTTATAACCTGGTAAAAATAGAATTTGGTCTTGTCAAGAAGTTATTAATATGTTTAGTATTCAAATGTGGATGTCGCGCAAGGATGTCCCTACAATTCCGATTAAAATGTATCCGACGGGCGGAGATAAGGATCCGATCCGAATTTGAAGCGACATTCTAGTAGGGTGTCTGGCGCGAGGTAGGGGTCGAAGAAGATAAATTTCAGTCGAGAAGCAGCTCGGAATCAAGAATCTGGCGTGTTTCTCGAGCAATCGTTGCCGACGCGAGATAGGGCCGCGGTTCGTTCTGTTGCTTATTTGTCGCCGGAGAAACGAAACGAGCTGGGGAAATGGCGAGCTGGTTTAAGGGCGCGTAAGGAGTGTGGGAGGAATTTGTGCTCGAAACCGTGCAAATAACGGACGCCGAGCAGACGACGAGCTTCTCTCTGCATCCACTGCTCCGTGCGACCCTCGGATCCTTCGTTCGTATCGAACCTCAAACGGAAGATTCGATGCTCTCGTAGATGCTATCGACTCGCACAAATCAGACGAAGGGATTCGCGATACTTCCACGATAAGATCGAACAAACGTCAACGGTTGTGAGGGGAAAATTAAACGCGAGAGAAACCATTGCGCCGGAGAAACTGTGTGTAAGGTGAGCATGCTAAAGCTTAGAAACGTATCGCTTGAAAATAAATTCGGCGTGCTTTCTTTTTAGATGGTAATTCGATGATCGAACCGAACACCAACTATAATACACGATTCTCGTATTGCCTCGTTAACCCGGCAAGGCGTCACTTAGCGACGTACATGCGGCGGATTGGGGACGTTGAACGGAAAAAGAAAAAGAAAATGAGAGAAATTCGTATAAATCGTCCGTTGCCACACACCACACATGCGTGTATCTCTTACGTCTGGGGCGAACGGCGGAAGAACACAAAGCTAATGCAATTTTGCAATTATGCCGTACTCGCCCGTCCCTTCGCCACCCCGCCGCGCTGAGGGGTGCAGAGGAATGCCCGCGCGCGATACGCGTCGTCCTTTCCTACCCCTCGGTCTTCTCTTCGCGAACAACGCGAGAATATTTAAATTTCGTTTCGTTTCCGCATCGTTATTCTTTCATCCGTGCCGCCGCGGTGCTCCGCTGGTGATTAATTGGCAAATCCAATCGCCGAGCGCGGAATGTACAGCTTTCGCTTTGTCGGTATCTTGGCGGGGCGCAAGACGCGTTCTACTTATTTATCATTGAAATATGATTTCTTTTCTAATATTAGCGCAAACCCCCTCTTTTTCTTTGTCGCTTCGACCGTGCCCGTGGTCCGAATTTGCCATCATTAATTCAATCGTAGAAATTTATTATGGCGTTTCCCTATGCTGCGACTATCCCCTCTTTTTTGAGTGTCCTCCTTCTCGCTCTGTGATTTTTATTTGTTTCCTACGTTTCTCGTCACGTTCACCCTAGTGCGTTACCGCGATAATAAACCTCGGTAACGAGTAATAAATCCCACGATTATCATGATATACTGGACACGGCAGCGAGATACATCCAGTCCTTTCATCCCTCCCTTCAGTCCCGATATTCTCCGGTCCGGCGGAAACTTTTCGAAGGATACGTAATAATCCATTCCACACAATTCCACGTTACTCGCACTCCGAAAAGGCTCATCCAGCATGATGGAAAAAGCGACGGAGAGAGATGAGGGAGGAAGGAGCTTCTGGCGCACTCGCGCGCTGCTGTATTAGATTTGCTTTCTAGGACACTTTAATCAGAATGTACCTATGTAAATTTTTGAATACACATCCCTCGTCTCCCGCGATGTTTGTATAGGTCAGGCGAAGGTATTTTCCTGCCGCCGAGAGCGGAGGACCTACGTTGGCGACCGCCGTCGCTGCAGCCGCCGTCGTCGTCGCCATCGCCATCGCCATCGCGTCCCGTGAATTAAAGAATTTGCAATTCTGAATTTCAGGTGATCGCATACATACGCCGTCCGGCTTTATCCCACCGTCGACGACGACGACGACGACGACGACGACGACGACGACTACGACTCGCCTTCTGTCCACCGCGAGCATCGACCGCGGCCGCGATATATTCTTTTGAGACAACGCGTGGATATACGAGATGTTTATCTCATATCACGAGTTACATTTTGTATTACTTTCACAGAGTATTCAAAATTAATTACATCTTTGCTTTTACGTCTTTTTATGGATTTTTCCACTGAAATCTTTACCAGGAGGAATTAAATATGTAAATAAAATTAAATGAGGGATTTCTTTTGTGTCCATGTACATAATGATGCACGTACAGTAGTGCCGTAGCTTAGTGATCGCGAAGCTCCTAATTCGTTATTTTTTTGCTTTCTATGTGGATTTTACTGCTCGCAAATAAATTTGTAATAAAATCTTTGTAGTTATTATAATAATTACTAAATATAGAGTTTATGTCTTTTAAATTAATATATATAATGATAACGTATTGTTATTTTTGATGACATTGTCCTACATTGTATCACTATTTGAAAATATTGGATTTATTTAAAACAACTTTACATATTTATAGAACTGACAAGAGTTCGGTCGAAAATTTACATCACCATGTTTCATCTCAATGATAACTAATCGATCGGACATAATAAAGTTACTACGATGAGTTTCAGTATATTCTTTCCCTTTTCATCTTAATCCTTTTTTCTTCTCTTTTTTACTTAGTGAGATAACGGAGAAGAGAAGCATTTTACTCGTGTGTAAAAATTCAGACGGATCTGACTTACAGCATGAAACATTACCTTTACATTGAACGTGGCAAACATGGCTCTACAATGTTATTTCTCACATTTGCAAAATAATTACGCACAAACTTCCTTTGTTCCTGAATAAAATTCAGATAAATTCCTTCAAACCTGCGTAAGGAATTAACAAATTTTTTCCGCATTATAAATATTTAAAAGATTACCTTGAATTTCACCTATCTTGTGTATATTACTCGAGCACAATGTACGCGCTCGAGGAGAATGAATGTCAATGTGGTGTGCCGACTGGTTAGGCACGAATTTCAAGATGAATTCCGGCGGACAATTACGACATTTTAATTGCACAATACCCGGGCTACGAGAGGCGAGAGCGAAAAGAGAGCGCTCGCGAGAGGGTGGCGAGGTGGAGACGGCGAGAAAGAGGAGAAAGACGGACAGAGGATGCGCCGTGTGTGGAGCGATGGGGGTGGTCGGGGGATGGACGGGCACAAGAAATGACCGACCAAGCGCACACGCGTATAATTATAATAACATTACTTGACAGAGATGGCGGCGAGAGGCGAGCCCGGTCGGCCAGGCTCCGCCGAGCATTGAAATATTATACCTACCAAAGAGAAAATAATTAAAATTCAACCCTTGCGCTCGCTCGCATGCGAGTGCGCGTCCACATTCGTGTGAGTACCGGGGCACACATATACACACACGTACACACCATGTACACACATATACAATCTGTGCGCGCCTTCTACGTGGGGTAAACCGACTCCCTCTCTCCGACGCCGCTACCTCCCTCACTCGTTCTCTAAAGATGGGGTTTCCCATATTTTTTCCAGCGCCCTAGGTAACAGGTATTCCGGAAACGTTTGTTCGTTACGTACGTGCTTCTGAGCGCCGTTGTAGTAAGTAGAAAAAGCCCCCGACGTATACCTTTCAAGTTGGATTATCGAGCCGGATGAATGCGCGCATTCACGATCGCGCGGCTTGACTCTGACAGCATTATTGTTGCGAAACATATCCGGTGTCCGCGTGTCGATGCTCTTCTGCGGTAATTGCCCGCGTTATACGCCTCACCGGTTTCGGTAATTAAATTGGATTTAACACGAATTCGTGAAGAACCAATCAAGTCCAGATGAAAAGGTAATTATTTGATTTCCAAAAAATTACGGACTATTACGTATATTTATTACTTGAAAATGAAAATAAAATTTAAAACATATTTTTTTTTACCATCATCTGAATAAGATTTCTCTTTTGTGTCTCTCTCGAGACAATGGAACTGCTTGACTTAACAATGAGCTGAGTTTGATCGCGTATACGATTATACAGATCGATTCGATGTAACCGTCGGAAAATAAAGGCTCGGTCTTGCGAAAAGGCGAGATGGACACGGCCGTTTTAATTGATATTTTAATGGACTTTGCGGAAAAAGGTTCTTGAAAATCGGCCCCGGAGGCCGTGACAGGATTGCGAGACAAAGGAATTAATGGAAGCCGCAGAGATCCTTCTACTTTAGCACGTCCACAGCAGGAGGACTTCCCCCTTCCGTTTTCACGGCTATCAATAGCGTCGCCGAGAATTCGGGGCCCCGTCAAACGCCGTCGGTTATAATTTATTCAAATTAGTCCGGGGATTATTCATGAAAAAGTTACGACGCAGGGAGGCGACTCGACGTTCGAACGGCGGATTCGCTCGATAATATCGCTTTATCTTTTTCCTCTATGAGATTAATATAGGTTTATTATACGACGCAGTTTCCTTGTTTTGTGCCATCCCGCGTGATTACTCGTAGATCAACGTAAAGGTAAAAAGCTATCTACCTAGCCAAGTAATACTCAAGCATTCGTGTTATCTTCTCGATAACACAAATCGTTCGTTTACATATTATCAAAAAAAAAAAAATGTCAATTTTTATTAATTTAATTATCGTGTAATCACACAATTAATTACTTGTAAAAAGTTATATTTTGTAATGTAAACTTATTTTCTTTTAAAACGTTACTTTTACATCTCCATACGAACAGAATAAAAATGACGTGTGTTGCCAATCAACAATCTATTCAGCGAAAAATGATCGTCGATTTTTCACGCGTGCGTGAACACCAACGGGTATTTTACCTTCTCAGGGAATAATTATTTGCGCTCTTTAAAAGTGCAAAAACAAGAGGCACGCGAGCGCGAGCGAAGAGCACTCGTTGACACGAGGGCGTGCGCAAGGCCGAATCACAGCGGCTCGTAACGGGTCGTACATTATGATTTAATGCTAACACTGTGGTAATGTCGTCAGAGAGACTCCTGCGTATAAATAATTCGCGTGTCCGGACGCCCAACCCCGAGGACCACGAAGTCCGGGGTGGACGAGGGCGTAGAAAGAGCAAGCGGAGACGGAGGGAAGGAGCCGCGGGGGTTGGGGCGGGCGAACGCCGAGTTTTTAATGCGGCATCTCTAGGGGCGACGAGGATTACCAAGGTTAAAAAGGAAGTTTTTAATAATTTTTCATTTTCTCTATATTTATTATCGCACGTTTCCTAACCGGGGGTGGGAAATAGGGGAGGGTAGGGGAGTTTTGTTTTGTCGGAGACAATGGAGGGTCGGTAACGCCGGACCGTCTACTGTCGCGGGGGGGAGAGGGGGGGGGGGGTTGATAAGGGGTAGAGGTAAGGGATGGGATTTCACGATTGTCAGTTGTCGTTGTGAAATTTTAATTCGCCCTCTCCTGCTTTTTTTTTATAGCCACTTTCTCTCTCTCTCTCTCTCTCTCTCTCTCTCTGTCTCTCTTCCTCTTCCCCGCTGTTTTCTGATCTTAGCGCGTAAAAGCCATTGCGATCCCTCCATCCTAATCCACAACGCAAAGTCATTTTTACAACGGCATGCCGGATGCTCGCGGAGATGTAGTGCCTTTCACGCTCACCGCTTCTCGTTCATTTGCCCTGCGCGGTGTTATTCGAAGTTTTGCGTTGCGAAATCTCGCACATTCGTTTTTCCACCACTTCTGTTTACATCGTGTTCTTCCCTCCGTCACTTTTCCCTACATACGAAAAAGCCCTTTACGATTTGCGTATCGAAAAGAATGTTACACGAGAAATTAAGGATTAATTGGATTGTGATTTGAAATATTATTCACTAACAGTGTTAATCGATAAGAAAGTAACAATTAATTTTCGAGAGAAAAATTCGTGTGAGGAAATAATCGCGTTTGCCAATCAACTTGATCGAAGAGGACGGAAAAACGCTTGACACGAGAGAAATTCTGCGAGAAGACGCGGTGTAAGGGGACGCCGGAAATTCGTCTGTGCTAATTTGTCGCGAAGATCGTGGAATTGAAGCTGGCGCGAAGTCTCTTCTATTGGCTCGGAACATTCCGCTATGCGCCTTTCTCGCCCTCCTCTCCTCTTTCCGGCTGCCTTTTCTTTGGTTTCCCTTCGCGATACGAAGTATATCCTACCGCATTTTCTGCGAGCACTATTCCGAATTACAAATATCGGGACCTTAGTGATATAATAGAGAAAGAGAAGACAGATAAGTTGGACAATTATTGAAGGCCACGTAAAAAAAGATATTCTGTAAGTTAAATCAAATTGGCAACCGTGCAATTCTTTGATTTATTACTGTCTTCATTAATATTTCTCTTCAATAATTTTTTTCTAATATGTACTTGAAATTCAATAGAATTTCAAGACAGAAGGATAAGAAGAGTTCAACGTAGCATTACATGAAAAGCAACAAGAATCTGTTAAGCTTGAGAGGATCAATATAATTTTTTAACGTGAAGCTTCCAGTTATTTATTAATTGCATGTAAACCACGAATGAAATGTATAGCCATTCATTTTAGTCGCTTGTATTGAATGTAAATATAAAGAACAGAAAAATTATGTTCACACGGAAAATCCGCCACAGATCATTTTCTATCCACGAACGATCTATACTTGCTTCGTTTCGTTTTCGCTTCAGACCTTCCATCACTTTATCCTGAAATCCAGTGAGATATACTACCGGTGTATTAATCAGGAACGCACAGGGCAACCTGCTTTATGAGTCTTGAAGTATCGCGAGAAGTAGAGAGGGAGGAGGCGCAGGGCGAAGACATCAATGTCAATAATAATTCATTGATTACTTAATTCATAGTTGCCATGACGACCGTCTCTCGCTTTTCCCTCGCCTCCAAGCTACTCTGTTTTTCTCGCTTCGACGAAGGAGAGTACATACTCCTTAAACGCATCTCACACAGAATCGAACGTGCCGATTGTTTCCTTGAACGGTCCAAATATTTGATTAATTAAAACATACACTTCCTAATTTACGTCATCACGATTTTTATCCGCTTCGCGATTGACAAGGCGATCCTGATTA